TTGTCTTTGCTATAGCTGCCATAACAAAATACTAGACTATGTTGTTTAAATAAATTAGTTTTCTCATAGTTCCAGAGGTGTCAGTAGGTGAGGCATCTACTTGGCTTGCAGATGGCTGCCTTTTAGCTGTGTCCTTAAATGGTCTTTCCTCTACACATGCTCATGGATGTTGTCTAAATTTCTTCCTTATAAAGAAACCTTGTAAACCAGATTGGACTAGGACCTACTCTAAATACCTTTTTTTCAAATTTTTATTTAACCACTTTTATTCCATTACAAAATTTTTAATTTTTTTTTTTGATTTTTAAAATTACAATTTATGTTCAATATTATTTTGTATTAGTTTTGGGTGTACAGCATAATGGTTAGATAATCATATACTTTACAAAGTGTTCCTCCTGATATTCACAGTACCCAACTGGCACCAAACAGTTATTACAATATTATTGACATTTCTTATGCTGTACTTTACATCCCCATGACGACTTTGTAACTACAAATCTGTACTTCTCAATCCTTTCATTTTTCTCACCCAGCCCCCAACCCCTCTCTCCTCTGCCAACCATCAGTCTGTTCTCTGTATCTGAGTCTGTTTCTTGTTTGTTCGCTTATATTGTTCTTTAAATTCCACCACATAAGTGAAATCGTGGTATTTCTTTCTCTGACTGATTTCACTTAGCATATACCCATGGTAGGATTTCATTCTTTTTTATGGCTAATATCCTATTGTATATATGTGCCACCACTTTTTTATCCATGAATCTACTGACAGACACTTGGGCTGCTTCCATTGCTTGGCTACTGTAAATGTTTCAATGAAAGTGGTGCTTATTTCCTTTCGAATTAGGGTTTTGGGTTTCTTCACATATATTCACAGAAGTGGAATTGCTGAGTCATAAGGCAGTTCCATTTTTAATTTTTTGAGGAAACTCAATACTGTTTTCCATAGTGGCTGCACCAATCTGCATTCCCACCAATAGTGCACGAGGGCTCCCTATTCTCCACATCCTCACCAATAGTTGTTTGCTGGTTTACTGAGGATAGCCATTCTGACAGGTGCAAGGCAGTATCTCATTGTGGTTTAATTTGCCTTTCTCTGATTAGTGCTGCTGAGCATCTTTTCGTATGTCTATTGGCCATCTGTATGTCTTTAGAGGTGGTCTATTCAGGTAGTCTGTCCATTTTTTAATATGATTTTTGTTGTTGCTGTTGAGCTGTACGAGTTCTTTATAAATTTTGGATATCAACCTCTTATCAGATTTATCTTATATCTTCCCCCATTTAGAAGATTGTCTTTTCCCTTTGGTGGTCTTTTGCTGTGCAAAACCTTTTTAGTTTGATATAGTCTCATTTGTTGTTTTTCTTTTGTTTCTCTTGCCTGAGATATATCAGAAAAAACATCATTGAGAGAAATGTCTGAGATTTTACTGCTTGTTTTCTTCTGGGAGTTTTATGATTTCCAATCTTACATTTAAGTCTTTAATTCATTTTGAGTTTATTCTTGTATATGATGTAAAAAGGTGGTCCAGTTTTTATTTTTTTGCATGTTATCCGCCTAATTTTTCCAACACCATTTATTGAATAGACTGTCTTTACTCCATTGTATATTCTACTCCATTGTATATTCTTGCCTGACCATATAGGTGTGGGTTTACTCCTGGGCTCTCTATTTCTGTTCCATTGATTGACATGTCTGTTTTTATGCCAGTACCATGCTGTTTTGATTACTATGTCCTTGTAGTATTAGTTTGACAGCAGGTAGCATGATTCCTCCAACTGTGTTCTTTCTCAAGATTGCTGTGGCTATTCATGGGATCTTTTGTGGTTCCATAGAAATTTTTGGATTATTTGTTCTAGTTCTGTGAAATATGCCATTGGTATCTTGATAGGAATTGCACGGAATCTATACATTGCTTTAAGTAGTATGGACATTTTAGCAATCTTAGGTCTTCCTATTCATGAACATGGTATATGCCTCAATTTATTTGTATTTTCTTCAACTTCTTTCTTCAATGTCTTATAATTTTCCAAGTACATATCTTTTACCTCCTTGATTAAATTTATTTCTAGGTGTTTTTCTATGTAATTGTAAATGGGAGTGCTTCCTTAGTTTTCCTTTCTGAGATCATTATTGGTACATAAAAATGCAACTCATTTTTGCATACTTATTTTGTATCCTCCCACTTTACTGAATTTCCTTATCAGTTCTAGTAGGGTTTTTTTTGGGGGGTGGACTCTTTAGGGTTCTCTCTATATAGTATCATGTCATCTGCAAATAATGAGTTTTACTTCTTCCTTTCCAACTTGGACACCTTTTATTTCTTCTTGTAACTTAATAACCTCTTTGAAGACAACACCTCCAAATATGGCTACATTCTGTGGTTCTAGGGACTAGGAGTTCAACACATGAATTTTGGGAGGGACACAAGTCCATAATACCACTGTATCCCTCCTTGGGTCCTGAGGTCCCTAGTTGTTCTGCCTTTTTCTACCTACTTTGAGTCTCCTTATGTTAGTTTTGTATTTAATGTCCAGAATTTTACACTGTACTACGTAGGGAATACAGCGAAAATGTGTCTGCTCCATCTTGTTGGAAACAGAGCTCTCTCCCTTGCTTTTTTCTTTATTTTAGTTTCTTTAAAAACTGACCTCCCATGACTGGTAAGTGGTGAAGTCAGCTATTTTACTTTTGCATGCTAGGTCTTTATATAATCACATTAGTTTTGCTTAAAATAAAATGCATAAAAAATACATAAACGCAAAACTCAAAATGTTACTACCAAATAGTAAGACTTAAAAAACATTAAGGTTCTTAAACAAACCCATGAATTGACATGTAAAGATCTTGGAAAGTCATCATTCCACCCTAACTGCTAAAAAGCAGAACCAACTGAAAGCCAACAACTTTCCCTAGATACACCAGAGAAGTGAGGTCAAAAGACAAACTGCTGTCCTTCGAATTGAAAGACTGACAGGCAAATAGAGAATCGCAACTTACCGGATAAGGAACCTCGGCGTGAACAGGTGCCAGGGTGGGAAAATCTGAAGTATAATTGACAAACTGCTTGAGGCTTAGTGTGGAAAAGTCTGAGTCTAAAAATCTAGGGGGAGCCAGTCATAAGGGGACCCCAAAATTTTGAGTTTCACCTCCAAGAGCTCACTGGGTTCTCATAGGAGCAGAGCAAAACCGCACTGCTTCCAGCATCAGAAAGGACAATGGAACCATTTGAACTACATCAGAACACTTGGTTCTTCATAACAAGGCCTGTGCTCAGGAGAAATGAGTTAATTGGTCTAACCTAAGGGGTTGTATCAGAGCCTAACTGCCCTGAGGAAAGGTAAATAACGCCAGCCCCTAGACATTGTCCCACCTAAAGGGTGAATAAAAGTTAAAATTCTTGTTAATAAAAATCACCTTTCCTTCCTACAGCACAGCTGTAGATAAAAATGATCCTTTTTCCCTAATGGGGCTAAGCTACAAATAGAAAACAGGTAAGAAATTTTAATGCATATAAAAAAGGTGGGTTAACCTCAATAATTAGGACAACAAAGTCCCACTGGGGTCTTTGAAGCAATGTGCAGCCCCACCCCCAGGAAGCTCTGGGTAGCAGCCTCAGGGCAAGTCTAGGTAAAGCCCACAGGTCACTTTAATATGCAAACTGAAACCTTGCAACTCAGAGCTCCTCTGCCCCAGGAAATCACAGAGGGTCTCTCAGATTTCCCAGGCTCTCTTGAGACCAAATTGTAACTCACACTCCTGGCCAGACCAACATTGAACTCAAAGGAAGTTGTAGGTTAAGAACTAAGTGGAGCTCATACATAACTAAAACTCAAGTAGGACTCATGGAGTAGCGACGGTGCAGGAGTCTACAGGGCCAGTGGGCTGGGCTCAGTATCCACGAGGGTGTAGTTGAAACCCAGGCTCCGTCAATTCTGCTTTCCTGTCTCCCTGGGAATTCATATGCTTAATTGAGACTTTTCATTATTTCCTTGGATGTATTTCCTGAGTGTGAATTATTACAGAAAACCCTTCATCCCCTTCTTCCTTGTTGCCTGAATTTTACTAAAATCCTGGGGCTAAATGTCATAAGATTGAAACCCAAGGAAGCATCCTAGAATTAGCGAGTAACAAGGTAGGATTCTGGACCGTGGGGCTCTGGGGCACCCCACAGTGTACCACACAGATTAGCTCCACACACATCCTCCCTGTCTACAGTCTCTCAATGTATGGTCACCACTGTAGTTTTTAAAGCAGATTTTCAGCTCTGTTCATCTCTGCTCAGTAAATAGTGCATCACTTAGTTCTGGCCAAAAGAATGACAACCAAAAATAAGAAACCATCCTTGAGTCCTCTCTTTTTCCTCTCACGTCACCCAATTTAGCACCGAATTTTGGTTCCAGAATCTTGCGGGAAATTGAGCATAACAAATAAAACCACAACTTCCTTGGCCTGGCCCCAGATTGACGGGAAAAACATCACCAACTAAAAAAATATCCCAAGGTGATTTTGAAGGACAGGCAAAATATCAGTTAGTCATGGAAACGAGCATTCTGGCCAAATGCTTGATGCCGGTGCCAGTTTTGTCCACATTGTGCAGAGCCTACTGAATGTGCTGCTTTAACTTACGTTTTCTGCCATTTGGTATAAAAAGGAATACAAAAATTGAAAACTGCATCTTGAAAGAATTCTTAATTAAAGTGAAAGCTCTTGAAGTTTTCACTCAATGTGTCTAAGGCACTTCTTTTTCCCCATCTGGTCTGTTGCCAGGTAAGGACACAATGATTCCAACCCTGATAAGAGCTGATGACATCTCCACACAGCAGTTAATACAGTCTAAGACTAAATCCGAGGAACATATAAAGGTTTTCAATAGCAGCTCATCAAATTTTATAGTATACCAACATAAATGTTTTCAGAATTTTTAAAATTAAATTCACCAATATTTTTCTGAGTAATCCAACAATGAAAGCAGAAAGCCAGCTACCTTTAAAACTGAAAGTTGAGTTTCAATATTTTATTAAAATAGCATATTTAACCACTGTTAACCAAGAATACTTTAACTTTGTCCCCTACCCCACCCCACCCCAAGTACGCAGCACAACACAGTAGTGATTTCAAATATCCTGATCATGACAACCAACAGAAATATTTCAAAGTCATGTTTGCAACTCAAAACCGGACCTTGGAAAAATTCTGAACTGAAAGAAACGTAAAGCTCTCAGACAGAATTCTTTCATCCACCGAAGAATAAAATGCCGGGCGCCACCCACCCGACAACACTGTTAGGTTCTTCTTTCTTTATGCATAGCATTACCTCTTTTTTAGGTCCCACGTCTATAAATAAAATCGGCATTTTCACCCCCATTTAATGTTCCTTTTCAGCTTCACAAAGAAACCAGTAAATAAAACTGTCAAGGACAGTCACGACGTTTGCTCTCACAGCAAGATAAAAAACTTGAAAATACGCAGAGATGCGTCTATGCTATTTTACATAAAAAGAGATTTAAAAAGTGCAAGGCAAAATTGCAGGTTTTTGAGGGGAGTTTTTAGGCACATCCATTTCTTTAAAGCAAGCTTCAGAATCAAATTCCAGTTTGTTCTTCATGACACCTGTTTAAGTCTCTCTTTAAGAAAAAAATAAAAAAGAGGACAGCACACATCCATCAGTGTGAAACTGGGAGTCACAGTCCCAAACGAGGGGCTCAGCTGTGGCGCGTCCGTCCCTTTTTTATTCTTGCGGGCTTTGGTTTGGGGATGTACTGATTATTTGCCTGGTACTCGAGTTCCTTCCGGAAGTAGTGAATTGCTTTGTTTAAACCTTCTTCCAGTGGCACCTGTTTAAGAGAAAGCGAGAATGAGATACTAGGTGGCGACTGAGCAAGACAACAGAGTGTCTCAGGCAGCACAGGAAGCGCCGACGTGAGGTCACAGGGCAACGGGCGACTGGACTGACTCATTATAGGAGAGGACACTCGAGTTGTCACCAGGTAAACTTTGTGACAAACTACCGTAATCCTCCATCTTTTCTTTTAAGGGTTCATTCATCCTTCTTAAAAATCACCTACTCTCCCCTAAAAGGCCTGCATCGCCCTCCTCTTTCCCTACAGAGATGGCACTTAGGCCTGAACTCTAAGTCACCCAAGTCACCGTTTTCCCTGGTCTCTCCCATGTATACATGTTAACATGTACATGTGAATAAACATCTGTTTTTCTCTTGTTAATCTCTCATTACTGGGGTCTCAGCTGAGAACTCAGAAAGGTAGAGGGGAAATTATTTTTCCTCCCTTACATTCCCTATAACGTTCTTTTTCTAAAGATAAGACAGCTGTAGATTGTGCCTCTCCCCCCGCATGTCTGTGACTGACATGGAAGAACCGCAACCTGCAGGGCCACGCCTAGGATGGTTCTACATTTATCGAGCACCTGTGTGCTAGGCTCTGTGGAGGCTGCTCAGGCTACTGCTGCACACAAGCCCCACATCTCTGTCCTCAGGGAGGACACATTCTAGCAAGGCCCAAGGGGGTGGGAGGTAAGGGGTGGGAAGCAAAGAGGGAGCGGCACAGGCATGGCAGACGGCGGAAGGGTGAGGCTGCTCCTGGATATGTGGTCGCCCAGGAATGCCTCTCTAAGGAGACGGCCTTTGAACTGAGACCCAAAGGGCAAAAATGCAGCCACCATGTGCTGCCCTGGGGGACACACAGCCCAAGAGGACGAGCACTCTAGGCCAAAGAGAACTCCACAGCTTCTTGCAGCCACAACAGCCTGACTTAGCCTAAGCACAGCTGGAAGGTGTGGGCTCGCCGTTTCCTGACCTCCTCTCTCTCATTCCAATCCGGTGTCTGCCTGTGTGGGAACTCGCCAACCCTGCACATGCAGAGACCTCCTGGGCCACGTGAAGACAGGCCGGTCAACCAGGCGAGCAAGGCCCACAGCGCATGCGGCATCACCCCCAACGCTGCTTTCACAGACGAAACTCCATGTGTGCACGTGCTCACATGTGTGATTTTAAGAAGGCAGAAACCTCAGTAGGCCCAAGCCCTTTCCCCAGGAATAAAGAACGAGACACATGATATAAGCAGCATGTAACGGCCTGAGGAAAACCCTGTATCTGTTCTGTCCAGATGCCCACACCCACCTCGCTCCACCAGGGCTGCCCACCAATGGTCAGGCCCCTGAGGACACGAGCCCCACTTACCACAGGCTCCCAGCCAAGCATCAGCTTTGCTTTTGTGATGTCTGGTTTTCTTTTCTGTGGGTCATCCTGGGCCTCAGAGAGAAACTGAATTTCACTTCCACTACCTGAGTTGTTTTAAAAAGGAAAAGATAAGAGAGCATCACGGACTACTAGGGATGTGACGTTCACCACATGTCAATCGAACAGTACAGGGTGGGTGACACACCTCTCACGGAGTCATTCAGCCGCCTGAGGGACTGCACTCCTGTCCCCATGAGAGCTCATGAGGGGCAGGTTACTCTACCTCTATAGGACAAAGTGAAACTGAGGGCCAGCCCTGCACTGCCAGCTCCCAGGCAGGCCACCCACCAGCAGCTAATGGCAGGTGTGCCCACCAAACACGACTCCAAAATGGTAAAGGTGGTGTGTGGTGAAATGCAGGGCGCAGTCGCTTATGACATGGCTTCCCCAACTGCACACCAGAGTGGTCATGCCCTGGGCAAGGCCCTTGCCCAGAATCTGGTTGGCCTTTAAGTCATTTAACCAGTAGAGCACAGAGAAATGACTCTGGGCCAGCTCCAGGCCGACGCCTATCAAAGACCTGGGCACTTATGTGCCTGTAGGAGTGAGCCCTGAGCCAACATTAAGTGCCAGCTACCCTGCTGGGGAGGCCAAGAGAGCCTGGCTTGTTCAGCATCCTTGCTGGGCCCAGACCCTGCTGGCCAGCAGCAGGAAGCCATACCAGGGACCACTGGCCAGGCCTACAGAAGAAATCCGCAGTGGAGGCTGGCCCCATCTCGGAATCTTGGGGAAATGAAACGGTTGCTGCTTTCGGCCACTGTGGCGTGGGGTGGGGAGTCACAAAGTTGTTCACAGAAGCATGATGGCTATGCTGTGGACATGCAGGTTTCAGGCCAGCACTTCTCCAACTTCAACATGCACATGGGTTGCCTGAGGATCTTGTCAAATGCAGATCTAGTCCAGAAGCCTGGTGGGCATCAGTCTGCATTCCTAACACATGCCCAGTGCTGCTACAGAAGATGGCCCGGCGTCACTCTAGACAGTGGCCTCCACCCCACACCAGCTGCTACCTGAGCACACCCCGTCCTCACTGGGGCACGACGGACAAGTTCTGAATGGAAAAGCTGGGGAAATGCATCTGAATGGAGCTGCTGGAGCCATAAGACGCTGTGGTTTATGTCTAAGAAAGATCATCTCCTCATCCACCGAGCTGTCCAGTGGATGGGAACACTGCTGGCCGATGACAGCCTGGTGCCAGGAAGGACAGCCCCAAGGGATCAACCAGCTAGGTGTGGGGTCCACACAGCCACTTCAGAACACCCCACATCACGCTCATCCCCAGTCTAGCCAACTACACACCAATCTGGGTTTGTCTTGACTCAAATTTCTTGATCAACCCTGGAAAACAGACACCCCCACAAAGGCCGGATTTCCCAGAGCTCCAGTAAGTCTGACGATGTGACAAAGGGAACACCCAGGGCATGTCTGCTACCCAAGGGCTCCTCGAAAAATCACAGACTTCTCATGGCTGAAGAGCAGACCTCACCTGGGCTACTGCAGTGTCTACACTGCCTCCAATAGTCCAGGGCAGGCTGCTAGGGCTGTGAACAGAGTCGTCAGAAACACAGCTGGTGAGGCTCTCTCCTGGGCTGAAATCCTACCAACTGCCAGTGTCTGAAATCAAACAACTGTCCCCTGTGCAGAAGGAGCTGCCATCATCAGGGCTCGAGACTGGGAACTAAGCTATGCCTCCTGCTCCACACACACCTGCGATTACGAAGGGGAACAAACCCCTTCCTTCCCCACCTCCACCTGTCTTTATCTTTCCATCTCTTACTAAAAGAACCAGAAAACACTTAAGAGCTCCTGGTAAAGTTCTGCTTTTTATCCAATTCAATTCGCTTGTATCGATCACACATTTCCAGTCAAGGTTTCGTGACTGACAGGTACAGGCAGGCACTTCCACCCAGGAAGGCATGTGTCCTACTTACCAACAAGGCTCTTAATCAACTGAGCGAACTCTAGAATGGTGTGCTCCTCCGGGTTCCCCTGGGGAAGAAACGGGTCTGGTTACACGTGTAACTGCAACAGCAGATGCCGTGCCGCCCCCACACATGCACGACTTCAAAGTGGGGGGCAGCTCTGGTCTCCAGAGGTCCCCAGGCTCCTGCCCCATGTCCCTGGGCTCCTGTTCCAGATGATGGTCCTCAGCACGGCAGAGCTGCACTTCACCCGTGCCCTCCAGACGAACATCTGGCACGAAAACACCTTTGGCGAGGTCAGGAGTGTCCAAAGAGAACACACTTTCCCTGGCGAACTACCAGGCAGACAACTCCCCCATCTAACTGCAGCGTCACTTTGCGCAGAAGTCTGGTTCTGCAAAATTAGCTCTCATGAGAGAATCTCTTTTCATCTGGGTGCAGTGTGAGCAACCTAAGTAATAAAGGACTCGCGACCCGCCCACAAAAGTTGGGACAGAAATGAGGGTCAGGGCAGCTGAGGAGGGACAGGGTTCATAAGCAAGCAGACTCTGGGGGATTGGAGGAAAAGCGTTTTTCCCTTTCTTCTTCCATCACACACTGCAGCAGCTGCCCCTCTCCTCTTCCCAAACTCCTACTCTGCTGTGCAGGCCCCACCATGAGAGGCCACCGTAAAGCATGGCAGTTCCATATCCTGAACCTCCTCACTCCCCACTTCTTAGCTTAGTCTGCAACCAGAAGGTGCACAGCCAGGAAGGGACCCGGGCCTAACTGAGCAGCACAGCGGAGCGATGGAAGTGGGGCAGAAAGCTGCCCGTCTGCATCAGGACTGCTGGCAGACGCTATTCAGACTCCAAAAAGATGTGCTTCTAGAAGAGATGGGAGTCCCCAAAGATCCCTGTACAAAAGCCCCAGGAAGAGGAAGAAGAGCAGGGCATCTGAAGGAAAGAGGAATGACAACACGCACGACCTAAAGGGCATGCAGAGAAGACACCAGCGGAGGGCGTCATGTCCTCCAGTGTCAGCTCCCAAGGCAGTGGCCACTCCAGGCCCAGTCTTTCCTATTTCACAAGAACCCACTCCTGACTTAGTGAAAATGCAGCTATGGAATGTGCTGAAGACTGCTGGCTACAGGGAAAAGTGCAGGGAAAGGCTTCCAAGGGAAGTGGTTTCCAAGAAATAAGCAGGCATGGCCAGCCCCGCTCTAACACGCACAGGACGCAGGAGGCGTTCAGGAAGCACCTGAAACAGACGGGGTCAAGGTGAGGCAGTGCTAGTGGTCCCTGGTGAGCTCCGGAGCCCTTGTGTCATTGCCATCAACAGAAGAACACCCTGCATGCGGGACAGTCTATGCTGGACACCTCGCATTGAAACGAGACCAGAAAACCCCAATCAGCAAACAGCGACTGAAGGGCCAGAGGATTGCAGCCCAACATGAACTCTGCCTGGAAGAGCTGGAGAGGAGACTCAGGGGGCACGGCCTTGCCCTTCGCGTCTTTAGAAAGCAATCACACTGCGAGGCATCAGATGGGCTCTGATGGGCGTACAGGGAATGCGCTTTTACTCCTAAATAGAAGAAAAAACTTTGTCGGCCAGAACTGGTCAAAGACAGAATAAATTCCTTTTGGGGAAGCAAGGCCACCAGCACCAAATGTGGTCAAGGCCGGGAAATGAACCCGACCATCCTCCCGCCACAGAGACTCTGGACCGCAGGAGGCGACGGGGGAGCTCAGAGGTGGTCTGTGCGGCTCAGAAAGAGGTACCTGGAAAACTTTCCTAATCACCTCCACCTTGTTTTTTGTTTTTCTTTTTTTAATCTTCACCCAAAGATATTTTTTCCATTGCTTTTCAGAGAATGTTAGAAGGGAAGGAGAGAGAGAAAGAAAGAGAAAGAGAGAGAGAGAGAGAGAGAGAAAGACATCGATGTGCGAGAGACACATTGACTGGTNAGAAGGGAAGGAGAGAGAGAAAGAAAGAGAAAGAGAAAGAGAGAGAGAGAGAGAGAGAGAGAAAGACATCGATGTGCGAGAGACACATTGACTGGTTGGCTCCCACACACACCCCGACCGGGGCTGGGGATCGAGCCTACAATCAAGGTACGTGCCCTTAGCCAGAAACAAACCCGGGACCCTTCAGTCTGAGGGCCAACGCTCTAACCACTTAGCCAAACCAGCCTGGGCGACCTCCACCTTTTCAAACCTCACGAACGCCTTGTTGACTGGTCATGAGTATACACGTGTTTCTGTGTCCGAATGTTGCTGACCAGTCATGAGATAACTTGTGTCTGCATTAACATTAATTGAAGTTATTTTAAACACTCTGCTGACCAGTCATGATGAAAAAGCAGCTGGCCGCACAGGCAAGTTGTGGCTTGAAATAGCTGATCAGCAAGTTAATCAGGTCTTATAGAGGTTATCTGTCTGTTAAATTATGGAGAAAGTGATGCACGCAGAAAATATGCATCTACCACCACCAAAGTGCTTCCCAATTTCAGGTGGAGAGAGTTGGTTCAGTGTTCATTACATTGCTCACCCATGTCCTGCAGACAATTTTACTTCACTGTAATCTCTTTGTTTTAATTTGCAAGTTTTTCTCTCTCATGTTCAGCAAGCAACAAGCACGCAGGCCCTAAGTGTGTCTCAGCCAATAAAGCAGCACCTGGTGCTTTTACAAAGAATGAGCGAGCCTGTGACCTGTTCCGGAGACAGTGGAAGGAAAGGACGTACTCACCAGGTTGACAGGGCTGCTGACGTTGCTGTTCATGAGGGACACCAGGCCGTTCACCAGGTCACTAGGAGAGAAGGGAAGGCCGGTTCAGGCACCTTCTGCTGAGCACGCAGGCGCCGAGCATCAGACACGCACCACCTCCCGGAAGAAAACCAAAACCCAAATGGAAAAGTGGATGTCAAAATAAAATCCTGCACATGAGAGGGTGTGGAGAATGCTAAAGCACCCACAGGTGAAATGACATGTCTAGGACTTGCTTTCCATGGGTGGGTGCAGACGGCTGAACAGGATGGAAGTTGAGGGATGGGGTTGAGTGCTCTACTTCTGTCTATTTTTGATACCCTTTAACAATTACAAAATAAAAAGTTAACACCCAAAAAGGATGGAGTTGATACTAGTTTCTGATGAAAGTGCAGTGACATGTGAACCCAGGTAGCTGGTGATACAAAAGCAGATGATTAAAAAAACAACAACAACAACACTGAAATGAAAGAATTCCCATGTGCCATTCCCACAGGGGCAAAGCACAGGTAAAGCAAACAACACTAAGCATTGAAATAACCCAGAACGCTGCTCCGGACTCCCTGAGCCTTCAGCTCACCTCTCCCCACCCCAAACACCTGGTATGAACCGGTCAGAGGTCCCTGGAGGTTTCAAATGAGTCCTGGTGGGCTGACTGGCGTGAAGGCGAAGGTAAGTAAGCAGATTTTCGCTTACCAAGGTGTGTTTCTTATGTTCAGAGCTTAAAAGTGTGGCTCTGTTAAAAAAAAGTTACTTTGTAAAAATGACACTTCTGCTCTATACCAGCACCTTCATCCGCCTATTTTCATCAGCTCTGATCCTGAGGAGACTGACGCTCAGTCTGGTGATCCAAGTGAGGTCTGTCTGCAGCCCAGAGGGGGTGGGGGCTGCTCGAGGCGGGTGGGTGAGAACATGCGATTATGAAAGATGGAACTCAATACACAGAAGTCCAACAATATGGTTGGATACAGAAACGCGTCCTGCTCCTTTGCTCTGAGCACACCATGCCTGGGGCAAGTGCTTTGAAGCAAAAATAGTCCTGAAGGGGCAGCTGCCGCTTCCTTCTGAGAACACTGGGCAGCAGAGTGGGCCGCTAACCACTCCCAGACTCTGTCCTGGGCAGATACTGAGGAGTGCTGGTGCTGGGGGCAGGGGGTGGGGACGGAACACTGATCATTACATATGTTTATTCATAGCTTTCTTTCACACTTAACATGAAAATTCAAAAACAACAAACACCTTCAGGAAAAATCTATAGTGGTGGTTCTTAAATAGTTTTTTTGTTATTTAGTTGGTTTTTTTACTAGCAGTTCATTTCTCAGAGACTCTGCCCTGGACCCTTACACAGTCAGACAAGTCTGTGACCACTCTGGCTGAGGCGGGGCTGGGGGCTGCCCAGACCTGCACCCCCACTGCCACTTCAGCACCTCTATGGCAACCTGGTTTGGCCTCAAAAGACCAGGAATAGTATTTCCTGCCTGAAAAGCATTCCAGGGAACTTTCATCGAGAAGTGAAAAGATGTAGAACTGCATTTTACAATTTAGGATACCACCAACTTACAGGGGATTCTCAGTAACTTTGTCACGTGGGAAAGCATTAGGGTCTACGTAACTGTTTATATGGTAACTGTCTGCTCAGAACCAAAGCTGCATTTTAAATTAGTCACAGACTGAACTGACCAACAAAAAACCCAACACCAGAGGACAATGAAAACCCGCACGAGGCTTCAACCAGGAGCTTAGACGCCTTCTAGGCACACAATTCGGCGGAAGCAGGACGCTGGCTCATCTCTGTCTCAATGAGGACAATCTCATCCATCCTGGAAACCATGGGGGAATGGGTCAGATTCCGGGATCTGCAGGTTTGTTAGATGATCAAGGCCAAATCTTAAATTGGCCTGAACTGAAGTTCCCTCAAGTTGGGCAAGTTCACTTACAGAGCACTAGGTGGCAGTAAAGGGCTAGCACAGGCGTCATAAGCAGGAACACGCGTGTACACTTTTCACATCAGAGAACTGGAAGAACTTTCACGGCCCTTTTAGAGCTGTGAGAAGCATTACTGCACACAGAAGTGCCTGTCCGGCCTGCGCCAGCCTTGCTGAGTCACCGCCAGGCTGAGCTGCACGCAGCAGGCCCGCTGTCTTACCTGACATACTGGAAGGCCCTGGTCTGTGACCCAGATCCGTACACCTAGGAGGAAACCGACAGTTAGGCCTCGAGTGGGTGCTTCGACACTGCGCAATGGTGAGAAGGTGGCAGAAATACTTATGTGTGTGTGTAGTTATGTGAAGCTTTTCCTCAAAAGACAGTGTTGGGAAGAGTCAGCTTTTGTCAGTCCTATAATGTGTCAGGGTCTGGGAAAGGATCCAGCAGGTGACAGACCTATATGAACAGTACTGGGTACATCTCACCTGGTCCTCCACCGAGCTTGCCCATCAGGACAGCTGGGTGCGTCCTCAGACCAGGCTGCAGAGCCTCTGCCAGGCTAGTGTCGCTTTGTTTACAACTAGTTCCCTGGATCATTCCAATGTGTGGCCAAGGCTGAGAGCTGCCCAGGAGACTCTGGGTAGAAGACAGAGGGGGCCTCACTGGATGTTTTCATTCCTCCGCCTCTCACCTACTTCCTCCTGGGGCAAGTGCTACTCACCCCTCAGGGACCAGCTCAGATGCCACCTCCTTGGGACACCTGTTCTGGCTCATTCCCAGGGAAGAATGCACTACTCTGCCCTTTGCACAACAGTCCTCCCCTAACCCCCTAACTTCCCTGGCCGAGAGCACCCTGGGTCAGGATTCGGGCTGACTCACCTTTGTCCTACTACAGCCCCGCACATCCAAGTGCTCAGTGAACGTGTGAAACGAGGCCTGGGCAACTGAGCACCGTGCGCAGGCCAAGGTGGCCTGGTCACTCAGGAATTCCTCAGACGGGGAGGCCAGCCGCTGCGCAGACAGGCAGCGCAAGCAAGGGGGAGCACCCTCGGGAGAGCACAGGGAGCACCAACCACCCCACGCTGGGCCTCTCGTGCCTACGAGCCTTCTCTTCTCTGCAAGACAATGGGCCAAAGTTCGGAATCACTTCCGTTCCCACGCTGTCGGCACGAGGGGCAAATAAAACGCTGACTTTGGACTGATCTTACAAGTGTGGCTTCCCCACAATTTCCTTTGGAAAAACAGCAAGGGTTTTAAAATGACAGAGACCCAGACTCACACCCTAAATCGGCCACACCCTCCAGCAGGGAAACTATTAGGACTTGCTGAAGGCCCAGATGACGGTCAGCATTTTTTAGCAGTAAAGTACTTTTCATTAAGGTAGGCACATTGTTTTTTTTAGACATACGCTATTGCTCACTCAATGGACTACAGTATAGTGTAAATATAACTTCAGCATGTCCCTAGAACCCCAACATTTATGTAGCTCACTTTACTGTGATATTTGCTGTATTGTGTGGCCTGGAACTAGCCCTGCAGTACCCCAAGGTGTCCTGTGTTCCTGAGTTATCCTAACAGGCACCCACACAGCAGGGACTTAAGGCGCTAACACACCCAAAGAATCAAGTTTGCCAAGGGATAAAACAAGAAAGAGCCTCACAAAAAGAGCAGCTGGAAGTACATTACACAGCTTAGAAAGAGAAAGCAAGGTAACAAGGAACTCCCAGCCACCACTGAGGTCTTCAGGCTTAGAAATGACTTAACACACCAAGTGTTCCCAAAGGTGGCGTGATGGGAGCATCATGCTGGATGACCCCTCTCCCAAGACTTCTCCACAGAAGCTCGTGGCAGAAGCAAGGGGTGCTTCCTCCACTGAATGGAGGGTAAGAGTCAGGGCTTGATGAACTCACCAGAGGGAGAGAGTCCTGTGTGACAGAGGACACAGCACGCTCTCAGCAGCCCCCTGGGGACGCCTCCTCCTACCAGGTGGCAGGAGAAGACCAGTGCTGGCACACAGTCTGGCATGGCGAGAAGAAGGCCCCAGAGCTATGACCTCTGCCCACAGAGGGTGCACTTTTGGGCATGTGGGGACTTACTCCCCCCCTGACACGGGCTGGCTGCTGCCAGGAGATGGTGAATCAAGTTTTTTCTCGAGAGGCCTGTACCGTTTGCTCTGCTCTGTGGTGTGAGGGGAGTCACTGCGGACAGCGGCCAAAGGGCACCAGTACTGTCCCTGAAGCTGAGGAACTACCAGCAGAACAGCTGGGCCGAGGGCAAGCACGTTGGAACTCGGCAGCAGGCAGCAGGTCACAGGATGAACAAGCTACACCTTGTGGTCACACTATGACCACCAGCTTCCTGAACAAGTCACTGACCACATGTTCGTCACAGAGGAGTGGCCACTGGAACCCCAGTCATTTCCTTGACAATTCGTCCCATACCACCCTGTGCTGGGCACTCTTCCAGGAGCAGGGACACAGCCCCTCGGGAACCAAAGTCCCTGGTGTCAAAGAGCTGACACTGGCGGGGGCTGGAGGCTGAAAGTTAACATTTCAGTTGGTGAAGTGCAATGAAAACAATAAAAAGCATAGTTAGGAGGGGCACAGGGACAGGTGGGGGCCACTATCTACAGTGGTGCAGAAGGTTCCAATGAGATGACCACTGAAAGGGGAGATAGCCTGGGAGAAAAGCACCCCCAGGACAGGCAGGAGCAAAGGGCTCAGGCTGAAGAGCTGAGTGGGGGAGGCTGGGTGTGCAGGGGATGTGAGGCCTCATGGAGTCCCTGACTTCTCTTTCAGGGCTCCCTCTGCTGCTGGGTCGAGGACTTGGGGGGAGAATCAGAGTGGTTAAGGGGCCACAGCAACAAGGAGTAGGGGGAAGCACGGGCCAGGGGCAGTGGGAGTAGGCAAGAAGGCGCCTGGATCCACTCAGGGCAAGGCCACTAGGATATGCGGTGGGCCCAACGTGGTGTGGGAGAGAGAGGGCCCAGTGTGACCACAGTGTGCCTGCCCTTGGGCACCAGGCACAGACCAAGCTGGCACTTCCTAAGCGTGGAGGTGGGATCGCAGGCTGGGCTTCAGCACCGCAAGCCAGGGTCTGAATTCACCTCTTCCCTATGCTGTGTTAAACAAAACTCACCTGGAAACCATGTCTTGCCCTGGGGAAACCACATCACTTTTTGGTTCTAAATTGGCAAAGCTTTTTTTTCGAAACTGGTAGCAGCACAGCAAACGCCCCTAAGAAGCGTTGAACATGATCAAGAGCAGAGGCTCTGAGCTCAAACTCGCTGCACATGGGGGCAGCCTATGTAACCCCGCCTCCGTCTCACTGCCTGAAGGTGGGAGAGCATCACCTGCACCCACTGACTTGCTGTGAGTACTGAGTTAACAGGTAAAGATCCCGGAACAGAAACAGTAACTGACTTTCAAAGAAAGAGAGAGGTAGATTTGTGGACAGAAGGATACATATGTCTCTACAGCCCCATTCCTTCAGGAATACACTCAGCTGACAACGACCCTGCAGAGCTTTTAGGGAACCGAGACATTCACTAGTCTGAGTCCCACCAAACACCGAGTCTCACAGAGGCCGCAGAGCGCAGAGCAAAGTGGAGGCAGGAAGCAGGGAGAGGAGAGAGGAGCTGAGGGTTCTGCAAAACCGGAGAAAGCCACCCGAACTTACTCAGCAAACCCCTGGCAGAGCAGGCTGGGGGTGCCTGAGGGCACTGAGCAGCGGGGCCTCATCCTCGCCACACATTTGAACCAGACCCTGGCCCAACAGGTGCCCACCAGGCTCCAGAAGCTCCCAGGTGGAGACCACTGGCAGAGGGAGTGCTGCTCAGCACTGCCAAGAAAACTGCCCACACCAACCCAGCTACAGGTCCATTATCGGGACCTGGGTGACCCGGAGCATAGACACAGCCAGTGGGTTAAGCAAGCATCCGGGAAGCTCTCTGCCGGCAGGCGGGCAAAGGCAGGCAGAGCCCAAGGCCTGGGTCGTGGGCCATGCCCACAGCCCACAGCTTTATGTTCCCGGTGGGCTCGGAAAGCAAGATGACTCGAGTGACACTGGTCATCCTTTTTTCTGTATCCTGTATCCTATGCATGCACCTCCCCTCCTGGCCACTAAGGGCGCAGGAATGTGACTCCCTGAATCAGCTTGTTGGTGGCTTCAAATTATTTTGGCCACTGAGGCCAGCACCTACCGTGAGTGGCTCCCCCTGAAGCGCCTGCAGGATGAAGTTGCTGACGACCCGACCGTCATTCATGTGCATGCGCGGCCCAAAGGTGTTGAAGATCCTTGCCACTCGCACTTCTACGCCCTCCTGGAACAGGGAGAGAGGGAGTGAGGTGCATGTCCTGCTGCAGGGGGGCAGTGGCATTCCCGGTGCCCTGCACAGACACGTCAGCAAATGCTCTGCTTTTCATTCCAAAACAAACATGGCTGTTTTGTTTTTACTGTGTGCAAAGTGCGCCTTGTGAACACACCTGAAGACTACAGTCCCACCAGAGAAAGTCAAACATGTCACCCCTCTGAACACTGCACAACAGTGTTTCTATGTTTTCTCCGAGTAAATATTTTTCAAATGGGGTCATGTTATGCTCATCCTTTAATTATTTTTTCACTTTTTTTTTTTGCAAATTTATCATTCAATAAACATTTTTTAAAATGTTTTATAGATTGATTAGAGAGAGAGAGATTTGGTGCTCCACTTATTCATGCCTTCACTGGTCGATTCTCCTATGTGCCCTGATCGGGGATCAAACTGGAAATCTTGGCGCACTGGAGCGACACTCTAACCCACTGAGCTACCCAGTCTGTGCCCTCAATAGAGATTTAAATGTCAGTGAATGTTTAATAGTTGATTTGAGGAAAAAAGAGTGCTTTACCTTGGGAAAGAAGGGACACACAAACATTCTTAAAGAGCCACCCACCCCAGTCTGTTCCATCCCAAACTAAAGACAACAGGGCACCCAATGTTGGTTCTTAGCTGAATGGCCAGGGAAGACACACACCCACACTGTTTAACACGCCTCTATTACAACAAAAATGGGGAAGGGGGAGAAGGAGAGAAAGAGGGAGAGGGACAGAGAGGGGGAGAGAGAACATCAATTGGTTGCCTTCCATACGTGCCCCGGCCAGGGATCGAGCCCACACCTGCCAGGGCAGGAAAAGCAAGTTTTTAAGTATGTAACCAAGAAAGCATATTTTTTAAACCCTAAAAGCCTTCTTTAAACTACCTTGTTTAATTGTTAATTTCATGAACTGATTTTTATGTTTTATAACAAACTCTGAATGGCTTTCCCGGCACATGTGCTTCTAACTTGTTGGATCCACCAGACCACAGACGTACATTTCGGGGCATCCGAGGCAGGTGGGATGGTGGCATGAGGGCGGGCACTGAGCTCCCAGCCCCATGGCTTGCCTGGCCTGCCACTTACCCTCCCCTATACACAGTGAAAGTGGAGGAACAGCATTTCCCCTGCAGGGCTGTTATAAAACAAAGCTTGTATTACCCTCAGCACAGCTCAGTGATCACAATGCTTTTCCAAAAACTCTCTTACTTTACCACCTAAACTCTCACACAAGCTGGGAGCCAAATGGACCTTTAGCTAATGGGGCGTGTGCAGCCTAGAATCTGCCCCAAGATAGTGAGCTAAAAGCCATCAGCTGCAGGGTCCCAAGGGCCCATGTAAAGCCTTGAGGAGGCGGGGGCCCCGGGCCGGCCACCTCTGCCCACAGCGCCCCATCTGCGGCCCTGGTGTGCGGCCCCTACACATGCTGAGGCAGAAAATGGTCACGAATGATGGAGAATGATAGACCCAGCACACAGTAACTTTTAGAAACCAAAGCACTACATTTCTGCTACTTCCTCCCAGCAATACATTATAACGTTTTCACGGGACTTTTCAGATTCTTAGGACTAAGGTGCGAGCTGCTATATTTGGCCCAGGAACCTGACGTTTTCTCCACTGAACAGAGAGTTTTCCAAAACGGGGAGGGAGGAGGGAGGCAGGGGCTGGGCAGAGGTGCTGAACTCACAGAAAACAGCTCCGAAGTACCCACTTGCATTTAATTATTAAGACAAGGAAAGAATCAGAAGTGGATAAATAGGGCTTAAGAAGAGGCCAGAAAATCCTCTGCGAATTTGTAAAAGTCAAGTCCACGGGCCTGGCAGGATGTCAGGGGCTGGCAGGGTTGCAGTGAACCCAACGCTTTCACCCTCTGGCTGCATTTCCCTCAGGAACAATGGCCCCAAACCGGCTCCTCATGGCAGGGCTCTGCAGGCACGGCCTGGCCCGCTGTAGGTGGCCTGCTTGTTTCGATCTTCCCATTTGGGTCGTCACCTTCGGCGACACAGGATGCCTGGGACAGGGCACTTGCAGACAGGCGGCCACAATGCTTTTTCAAGAACTCGGGCTCTCAAGCCCAGTTTGCGCCAAGACTAGCTCCATATTCAGCCTCACCTTGCAGATCGAATCAATGCAGCTGAGACCGCTCGCCGCTCGTGCAGCGTCAGGACGTGCCGGTTCAGCAGGCAGCCGCAGCTACCCGACACACAGCCCTGGGTGGGATGTGGACAGCAGGCAGCTACCCGCGCAGCTCAGGGCAGTGGTCCGCTGGCACCACATCTTGGAGGGAGGAATAATTACTCCCATCTCAGCTAAGGAAAGGGCCAGGACCCAAAGCAAGCTTCCCAGGATAAAGCCCAGGACTCTTTGCAGGGAGCTGCTCCTCTCAAGGACCCGACAGCAACACAAACTGCTCACTCACACTCAACACCCCTCCAGCGGGGACCGTCTGCTGACACCCACGCGGTGCCTGTTTCCGCCCTGAGAGGGGCAGGGTGCTGCCACGCGCAAGACAGCTGAGTCATCCTCAAGCTTGGCTGGTTCCACAATGTCTGTGGTCTTGTCCCATGTGGGAGCCGTGACTCACTCATGTCTCCAAGCATCAAGAGGTATATCAGGGACCAGCACAATCCCCGCAAGTGTGANGACTCACATTCAACACCCCTCCAGCGGGGACCGTCTGCTGACACCCATGCGGTGCCTGTTTCCGCCCTGCGAGGGGCAGGGTGCTGCCACGAGCAAGACAGCTGAGTCATCCTCAAGCTTGGCTGGTTCCACAATGTCTGTGGTCTTGTCCCATGTGGGAGCCGTGACTCACTCATGTCTCCAAGCATCAAGAGGTGTATCAGGGACCAGCACAACCCCCGCAAGTGTGAGGCCCTGGGAATGAAAGCAGGGGACCCAGGGAGGACGGGTGCCCAGAATGTCTCGTGGGCAAGCACCTGAGGCACTCACAGGTGAGAGTACATGGAATGCACGTGTGAGGCCCTGGGGGCGGTAGGGGGACAGGATACCTGCAGGCCCTCGATGAGGCCCTGTCCCTCATTAGCTGCCCATTCCTGGGTTAGTCACTTCATTTCTCAGATTTTAGATCCTGCTCTTTGGAACGGGGACAATATCCACCTCCCCTCATCACAGAAGTTAAAAGGAAACACGTGAACCTGTTTTGAAATGGTGGTCATTCCTGTCTATCTCCAGGCTACGGTTCTAAACTGGTATTGCCTTTGAACTTTGACCTCTTTCTCTAATTACCCTGAACCTTGGCACAGCGGTGCCCGTGTACAGCATCTCAGAAACATTCCCACCAGGCGCCTAGGATCACTCTAAAGACTGCGCTTGGAACCAGTGGCCAGGCTGCAGTGACCCCAGATGGAGAGGGGGCACCAAACACCTCTCTTCTGCACCTGTCACAGGCAGGAGGGGCAAGCAGCTGGGGGGCAGGAGGGACAATGAAGGGACAGGGCTTCCTCCCTCCCCAACATCTCCCAGGGAGAGACGTTACCAGCAGGGGTTAAATGGCTCTCCCTCTACAGTTCTCTTGTGTGGCCATTCCTTGGAGAGTTGTCTCAGGCCCTGAACACCAGTGTGACTGTGTCACTGTCCTCACTGACAGAGGATGCTGGTGAGACAGAAGACACCACAGTGTGACTAGATCACTGTCCTCACTGACAGAGGGTACCGGTGGGACAGAGGAAACTGCAGTGTGACTGTGTCAGTGTCCTCACTGACAGAGGGTACCGGTGGGACAGAGGACACTGCAGTGTGACTGTGTCAGTGTCCTCACTGACAGAGGGTGCCAGGGTGGATAGAGGACACTGCAATGTGAGGGTGTCAGTGTCCTCACTGACTGAGGGTGGGGGGTGGACAGAGAGGCTGCGCACAGGGAGAGCAGGTGCTCACAGGAGGACCATCCCTCCCCATTCACCGTGTGGAAAGCCTGTCCCAAGAGGCACCAGGGTGGATTTACCTGTTAGGCATGGGACAGAGAACTAACGGGACATGCTCCCAGGTCTGGCAGGCCCTGCTCTATGACCCTTCCTTAGTGTGCCTCAGGCCTCAGAGAGAGTGACGTCCACCTCCCTAAAGCAACACAGCCTGCAGCCCTGAGGCAGAACCTCCCATTCACTTCCCCTGCAGCCGCTCAACACATCCCGTCAGGCTCTGGACTCTGTCTGGGGAGACTGGGGCCATCACACAATGCAGAGCNATCAGGCTCTGGACTCTGTCTGCATCACACAATGCAGAGCTCACTTTGCTGAGCAAGGCTCTTAGGTGCCGAAACATTCCAATTCCCTCTCAGTGGTGGTGGCAGAGGGGGGCCACCTGGTCAGGGGACAGTGGCATGTATCTGCCTAGCAATCTCCCTCAGCAGCCCTGCTTCAGTTGTAATGTAATCACCGGGCCTGAGTGCTGGCTGCACAACAGGCTAAGCCACTTCGAGGCCAGGGGGAATAATTTCTAGGGGGCAAGTAGGCAAGGAGAGGGGTGCCCAGAGAGCCAGCGCAGAGCTGGGCAGGTCCAGGCCACAGGGTCTTCACCCTCTGGGTGTGAATCCTACCAAAAGAACATTAGACTTGTTTTAGCTGCCTGCTGAGTGTCTTTTTAAAACTAAAATATAAGGTACACAACCAACTATGTTATTTTTTAAGTATTCTGATGCCAGAAAATGAACAAAGCCATTCCCTCAGGGCCATGGGGCGAGGTGACTCTCTGCTCTGCTGGTCTGGTTTTATGAATGGTGGCCTGTTTGTGGCCCTGCCCAGGGAGTGGGCCACAGATCTGCAGTGTCAGGCTCCTGCTGGGCTGTGAGCTCACACACACCAAGCACACTAGAGAAGTCCCCACACTGACAAAACCACATGTCCAGTGCACACAGAAGCCACTATTTAATTCCTTTGTGGCAAGTTTGAAGTTTCCGTGAAAGACGCTATATATGCCCTTTGATCCCACTNCATGTCCAGTGCACACAGAAGCCACTATTTAATTCCTCTGTGACAAGTTTGAAGTTTCCGTGAAAGACGCTATATATGCCCTTTGATCCCACTTCCACCTCATTTCATTGCCCCCCCTGAAAGAAAACCCAAGGGAGCTTCTATGATATATAGATGTCTCTAAGATGTATACGTGCCATAGATTTTTTTCCTGGGAAATCAAATTCTGTTTTGAATACATAAGCATATTTCACTAAGAGAAACTCAGAAGAGAATCCTTTGGAAAACAGAAACTCTATAAAGAGATTATTCCTACTTGTATTTATCTTGTTTATATTCTTAATTCTTAGGTACTAGGTTGATTCAGAGTAAAATACATCTACACACCATATGACAGATAAAGTAACAATTTATACTGAAGACTGGATGTGTTATTATGCATAAAAAATAAAAACTGTTAATTAATTAAAGCATTAATTAAAGTAATTAATTAAAGACATAGACCCCACCTGATTTATCCTTCCTTCGGGTCATTTTTTCCATTAACCCACAGACAGCATGAACAGTGTCACTTCAAGTTTTGAATTTCCTCCTAAAAGCTGCCATCCTGGAAGGCAGCACACAGAGACCTGTGAGGTGACACTGGCACGCGGCGGAGCAGTGGTGGTGGGAGCAGTGCATGCGCCTGGGAGCTTGTCCTGGGCCCTGCGACATTGCTGTGCATCAAAGGAGCCCCAGGGCCCNCGGCGGAGCAGTGGTGGTGGGAGCAGTGGTGGTGGGAGCAGTGCATGCGCCTGGGAGCTTGTCCTGGGCCCTGCGACATTGCTGTGCATCAAAGGAGCCCCAGGGCCCTTGGGCTCGGAGCTGCATCTCCTTTGCTCACCCAGCTTCCTCAGCCCCGATGGCCCTAAGGATGGCCGGGAGGAAGGAGCATGCCCTGGGGGCTGCCAGGCATGGGTTTACGCTCTGCTTGTAGGCCAGGGAGCTGGAAACAAGCTTGGGAGCCCACTCCTCCATCTGTAAAGTGGGCGGCCCACACCCGCCTCAAAAAGGGGCCGTGAGAATGAGGGGAGACTCAATAGGCTGAGCCCTAACACAGGCTGAGCCTCCCGGAGACCAGCGGACACGCACACTGTGACCTGACCACGGGGTGACTTCCTCCACTCAGCCATCACATTAGGGCCTCCTGTACGTGGTGCATGTGCCACACATTCCACAGCAGTCACCCCTCAACTGGTTGCATCCCTCACAAGGATGGCGGGTGGCAGGCTGGCAGGACACCCCCACAGGGCTCCTGTCAGGGATAGGTAGCAAGACTGCAGTCCACACAGGGCCTTCCGATGGGCACATTGTGTCCCGGTTCCCAGGGCAATGCCACCTATGCTGTCAGTCCTCCGAGACCCACATGAGCAGAAGTGTAAATGCTGATGGTCCAGAGTGATCCAGGCGCTACACTCCTGAGCTCACCCACAGATGACCTGAGCCAGCTAACGTGCGTGGAATGTGTGCCCTGGCCATTCCAGTGCCTGGCATACAGTCGGCGCTCAGTAAATGCTGGCTGTATCATTACTAAATACTGTAATTATCATGAGTTCAAAGCTTAAGGTAATATAGATATTTACAAAATTATTAATAAGTTACACTATTAACCATTTAATAAAACTTGAAAGTTCAATAAAAATGTCCTATTTGCCCACCAGCTATACCTATGTAAAAATTCACTGACAAATACCAGACTGAAAGCAAAAGAAAACAGCTTAGAGATGCAATCCTCTTCAAACTTACTGTGAAATAAAATGCAATCATGTGTCCCTCAGCATTCAGGTTAGCTTTCTGCGGTGCCAACGTGCCTACGGGCTGTGCTATGTATCTGGGAGACCAGCTTACATTTTGGGGTCAAGATACTCTAGGCTCAAAAATGACAAAGGCATGTCCTTTCTAAAACTGATTAGTGTTAAAAATAAATGACTCTTCTAACCCAGGGGTGAGGAGCCCTTTTTCAAGGGCCATTAGATATTTATAACATCATTCTCGGGCCATACAAAATAATCAGCTTAAAAATTAGCCTGCTACATTTGGTCAAACATTTAATTAATGCACTCCTAATGTGATGGCTGGAACTGTTTCTCTTCGGTGAGGCCTTGGCAGGGCCAGACCAAATGATTTTCGACATTCCCCACCCCTGCTCTAAGCCAACTGCACGAAGTAGCTTAGAAAGCAGTTCTGGCCAAGAAATAAAACAGGAAGGCCTGAATACTTACATCAGCACAAGGCTGTTTTGTGGGTCTTTAATGTTGGTATTGTAACACACAAAAAAAAGACTCAGGCACACCCAGCCATCAGCCACTCAGCACCAGGCACGCGGGAGCACCTCTCCCCTCCCACGAAGCCCACAGCCTCTGAACTCCGAGCTCACCTGCAGGTGGGACCCTGGGCCCAGGGAAACATGCCCATTCCTCTTTAAGTCCTGAGAGCACAGGCTACCACACATCTGTCAACAGCCTGTCCCGTCCACATGTCCTTCCTCTAATAAAGGGCATGTCAATGAGCTAAGAGCGCTGGTCCAAACACAACAGGACAGTCACCACCAACGGGATGGACTAGCCAGGCTTGCCTAGCCCCCGGGCCAGGTCTGGAGGTCTCACTGGCTCCCACACAGCCCTGAGGCAGGCAGGACAGTGCACTGAGCCCCATGTTAGAGCAGAGTGCCCAAGGAGGTCAGGCCACATCTCTGAGGATGAGGCGGCAGCAGAGACAGGCGGGAACCAGGTCCTCTGCCTCAGTCTGTGGGCTCTGACAGCTACAGTGTGAGAGGGAGCAAACCTGCGACAGGACACTACCAGATCTGTTAAAGTCCCCTGCAGAGCAATGAGTGACTAGAAATGCAGGACAGAACAGTGAATGGAAGCCCCTAAGGAGATCCAAATGAAAGCAACCGTGACTCACTTTCCCCTGATCAGGTAACTCGAAGTGAAACCCAAGTCCCCTGATTTGGAGGCTGCAGGAAAACAGAGGGAATTCTAACTGCTGGTGGGCAATTCCCCACATGCCACAGTTTCCTAAAGCTCGGAGTTCATCTCCCCAAAATCTTTACTTTGAAAGGAAAAGCGCTGCTAATACCACTAATTTATAACAGTGGACCACCTTCCCCAGCCCCGCCCTGGCAGGTAATCCCGACAGTTCATTCCTCTAGTGATTTACACTCGGGACGGCTCTGCGTGTCTGTGCCCCACACTCACACACCTGCTTCATGTAGGCGTAGCACATGGTCTCTGCAACGCGTTTGCCTTCATCGTAGCAGGCTCGGGGGCCGATTGGATTCACGTGGCCCCAGTACTCCTCATTTTGAGGGTGGACTTCAGGGTCTGTGAGGAGAAATGAGACTGTTTTCATTCCTCCTTTGTTTCAAATTCATTCGCATGAACACTGAATATTTATGATACAAAAAGGAGCTGTGGGAAGACCAAAACAAACTGTCCACATGGAAAGATCGGTATCTAGAGAATTCATTGTTCCAGTGGGATGCACTGCTCTTACGTCTCATGTTAATACACATTTTACAGGAAAAAAGTTAAAAGATCAAATGCCAGTTTAAACCTTTCCTGTCTCCTATAAATTGTTCTTAACTTTTAAATTATTATACAAACTATACTTAAGTATAACCTATGTGGAGGGATATATGGTTCAACTTATATTTATAAAATACGTAATGAAAGCAAAGCATGCATTTATTGAAAACATTTAAAGAGCATCCCTGTGGAAGACAACTTCCACATATGCCATCTGCCGCACAGACCTGAGAACCTCAGTGACACAGGAGGTCTGGCCCAGCGCTGGTGGGAAGTCCCAGGGCAAATGGCTGCTTGCTCCCAATTCCTGTTTTTCTGGTGTGTAATTCAATCACACTTTAAGATGTACCAGGGAAATGACTATTTAAGAAAACCCAGTAACAAATTCTTTAACACAAGCATGTTTTTGGAATGTGAATTAATAACTAATTTATCTAGTACACCAGGAATTTTACACAACCACATACACCTGTGGTATAAAATGTGTACGTCTTTGCCAAGAAATATGGACAAGGTCCAGGAACCTTTGTGACAAATCCACTCCTTGTACATCTTGAGCAGAAGTCTGACTTTGGCTTATGGGTAACAAGGGGACCTGTGAGGGATGGGACATGAACACACAGATGCCTCAGCTGGCCATCCGCCTGGATGGGCACCCCTTCCAAAGGGCGGCAGCAGCTCAGGGCAAGTGCAGACTTTTCTAGCTGCTGCTGGCGTTAAAGTTCCCTGAAGAAGTGCACGTTTTTACTGTACGGTGAGAGAAAATGTCTAAGGCGAACACTGCCGGAGAAAAGAAAACCAGTGACGTCAACACACACAGATATGAGAGGATCCACGTCAGGCCTTTCCTGGGGATTTTCCACAAGGGCTGGGCCAGCCAGACTCAAAAAGATGATCAGAAATTTGGCAAATGATAAGAAAGAGGCTGGATACACCCACCCACCCCTTGAAATGCCCAGGGTGCCTGAGGTTCACACACAGTTGTAAAAAGTCCCCTCACAGGATCACTCTGAAATCACAAAAGGCAAGGGCCAGAGTCGCAGGTTTTCTAATCAGGATCCATCATTCCCATTCTGCTCAGCCAAGATCAGCGTGCACAGTTTACAGCAGCTAGAAACCTCGAAGCAGAGCACCAGCCGGATCCCCCGAGTTAGGCCCTGAGGTCATTTACTACCCCGAGGAACACAGCTATCGCCCAATGTGCAGATAAAGGAGGTGGGAGGAGAAAGGCGTAGATGTGGAGATGCCACCGTGCCCTCCCGGGCAGAGAACTCAAGCATCTTAGTATCTGACGCAGACACAGCCCGACTCTGTCAGCACCACTCCTCTATGACGTGTGAAGCCCATCAGAGGAGCAAAGGGGACCATCCAGTGCCCGTGGGGAACCTGCGGATCCCCTGCAATCTTGATATGGACAGGCAGGGAGGGGAGAGTTCCAGCCCATGCACCTACCTATTCCTAAGCAGCCGGGGAGCAGGGAGGGGACTGTGGGCAGTTCCGCCCTTTTAACCTACAGATTTCAGCAAAGTGGACAGGGCTCCACCTTTTCACAGGGAGCACAAAGAACATAACTGCATGCAGTGGAATTTGTTTCTCAGGCTTTTTTCCACTTGGTTCCCGTTAATAAAAACACATCTCTTCCCATGTTGCCCTTCCACTCCCATGTCTCCTGACGTGAAGTAGTGAGTTCCATCACGGCCAAGCCTGGCTCCTGCTCCTGCTGCACCCAGTGGGCAGTGCTCCCACAGCCCGCGCTGGGTGGCTTGGGGCCAGATGGATGTCCACTTGAACAGAACGTGTCAGCCTCACCACTCCCCAGAGGGGGCGGTGAAGTGCTGCAAGCTGGCAGGACAGGCCCTGGAGTTTTTTGGCACTACAAGAAACGGTAGACTCTTCCAGAAATGGTTACACAGCAGTGAGGAACTGGCAAGAGTCTCTTCGCCGAGCACGCTTCAAGGCCAACACGGAGTTCTTGGGGTCGGCTCATGACACACACTTTTTACACTAAAGAACATGCACCAGCTAAGCTGGTCAAGAATCCCTAATGGATTGATTTCTGGGGTTCTCTCAGAGTAGAACGCAAAACACTTCTGTGGAACCATGAGTGGCAGGTCCTCATTGCCAAGGAGCCTTGATCCAGGTGCCAAGGATGTGCGTCAGCAGGGACACAGGAGCCTGCGATGGCGGAGACGGGGAAGCCCCAGCCACTTACCTCCATACACCTCTGAGGTGGAGGCCAGGAGTAGACGTGCACCGACTCGCTTTGCCAGCCCTACAGAAAGCAGGGACATGATATGAGCAACTGTCAACTTCAGAGAAACAGGAAAAATACACATGCACATGTTTGTTGTCAGCTTCAGCAATTTCTTAAGTATTAATGGTATTAGACCATCCATATATCTTCAATTATCCACTCTGACTGCATCTACTTTGGAAATAAAAATGGGGGGAAAAAACAAAATGTCCAACAACAGCCAACCAATAAAAACAGTAAGAAAAACACAGATGACCTCCCAGAAGCCCAGTATTCAATTAGATGCTCATGAATTAAGAAGGGCCAGATGCATAGGCTGTTGGCTTGATGACGTGTGATTTGAGGAGTTTCACAAAGATGCCTCTGCCCCAACATATCACCATATTTCATGCCGTAGCTTCACCCTGGCTTGCATAAGGCAAAGCTCTGCACACTTTAACTTCCTTCCACTATTGTCCCCAAAACGGCCCACCTGCCACCTCCTCCTCATGCTCCCTGAGCCAGCCCCCTTCCGGCACCTCCACCCATCCTCTCAACTCCTTCCAGGGTTGGCTTAATAGCACCTTCTCCAAAGCAACTCAGCACATCCTGCCACCCTGCTCTGAACCTTCCCTGCATTTACCCCTGATGTGTCAAGTGGACAAGAACATCCTTCATCCTTCTCTATGGTGGTCACATAGGTGTGGGACTCAGGCTCTGAGGAGCCCTGTGCAGAAGAATCCCATGGCCCTTCCCTCAACCCAGTGCTTCCCACCCACCCTCCACCACGGAGCCCTGAGCAGACATTCGCAGCACCCAGTGCTGCCACAGGCCCATGCAGGGCAGCCAGGAGGAGGGGAGGGGAGAACACGGCTGCACCCATGCTGGGGAGGCGGGCAGGCGAGAGGAAGGGTCCTAGTGTGAGGAGAACAGGGGTAGGAGTGTGCAGGAGCGCCTGGGGGAGCCATGAGGATGCACATAGAGAAAAGAGAACGGAGTTGCTGCAAGGTGAGGATTTCGGGATAACCTGAGCAAATGCCACCTGTGGCTGAGGAAGAAAATGGCCCAAGGGATGTCATACGATACTGAATTCACAAGCTCCCAACACCACAGGCCCATCTCCTTCATTCCAGCTCACCAGAGAGTCCGGAGTGGACGACACCACATGACAGCAGAGACATGGTAGCTGCACAAGGACCTGACATCTTTAAGTAAACTTTTAATCTGAATTGTCCATTCAAATGCAGTTGAAAGAATACAGGGAGATCTCATGGACACTTTATCTAGTTTCCCCCAATGGTAAAAATTTGCACAGCTCAGTTCAGTATCATGACCAGGATGCTGGCACGGCATACCTGAGAAGAAGAACGTCTCCCTCCCCACAGGGAGGAGCCAGGGCAGCACAGCCATGCTGCTATGGTGTCCAGGTGTCTGTACAGAGACTGGACAAAGCGCTGCACCAGGGAGATGCCCAGCACAGGACACGGGCGGTGAGCCTGCAGAGAGGGGCCCCACCAGGAAGAGCCAGGCGGCGTGTGCAGAATGGAGACAGCTCCTCAGCTCAGAATACATTCCCATTTGGGTCTCTTCCAGCCTAGCGATCATCCCTCCTCACCTCTGTCCAAGTCACTCCCAGAAGACCCTCTGCCATCCCTTCTAGACCTCCAGGTCCACCCTCACGCAGGACTGGGCCTTAGCCCACGCCACTGCACCTTGAACTCGAACAGCACTCTACGGATGCCTCCTTTCTGGGTCCTTCCCCTCCTCCTGGGAGCCACTGACACCTGTGCCGTATAGTCTCCCCCTGAGATGCCAGGTCCCCAGCAGAGGACCCTGAGTACAGTCCTTACTGACCCCCACCATGGACAGGGCAGTGCCCCCGGCACATCACTGCACGGCCTGAGTGATATCTTTATAAACACCCCGTGCCCACGTTTTTCCTCTGTTGTGTCTAGCTCTGATATGAAGGCAGGGCAGCCTGTCACACACCATACCTATAAGAGCAGTGAGCACTCTCTTCTGTCAGGTGACCAGGACAGGAGACAAACACAGAGGACAACAAATGCCCATTCACTTCACTCCAACAAAGCTGGACTCCTCACAGTGTCAGGTCTACAAGCCCTGAAAACCAAGCTCCAGCTGCCTCTCAGACCCTAGTCTGAGACTTCAGTCAGATTTAAATTTACTGCCACCTTTCCTAAATCCAGTGGTAGAACTTGTTTAACCTGTCCTATAATTAAACCCGTTTTTTCCTGGGCATTTTAAAAAGCGGTTCCTTTTTAAAGGAACTTTGTAACTCATCAGAGCCCTGGGTGTGCTGGGAGCCTATGCAAAGTGTAAGCATGCCTCCCACTCCAAGCATGAGTGTGTGCACACTGCCCACAGCATGTCATTTGGAAATACACACGTGGCCACCTCTAACGGGCTCTCTCTCATCTCACACTCTAAGGCAAGTCCTGCCATTGTCTGGAGCCAGGTACTAGGTTTCCACAGTCCCATGAGGACAGTTTTCCTCCCACTCCTTCCAGGAGCGCTCCTGAAACACGTGTGTGTGTGTGTGTGTGTGTGTGCGCGCGCGCTGTGTCTATGGCATGTGTGTGTGTGGTGTATGTGTTTGTGTGGTACGTGTGTTTGCGGTGTGTGTGTGCTGTGTGTGTCTGTGTGTGTGTAGTCCTCTGCAACCCAATCTTGAGCTGAACTGCCAGCGCCCCTCTGCAGCAGGAAGGCGCCATGCCATGTGTCAGAGGGGAAAGTGGAGGGAGGCTGGGTCCTCACCTGGAAGCACAGATGGTCAACCCAGGGGATGGAACTGGGGCAATAGACTGAGTAGTTACTACCATGACCGTCTCCCCATGACCAATTCTGATGGCAAATAAAGTCACACTGAATAGCCCAGGCGGGGTTGAGGGAGGGTGTAAAGGCCAGGATCAAGCTCCATAGCACAGTCAAGACCTACGCTCGGAGCCGTCTACATGCTGCCAACAGCAGCTGCAAAGGAAGGAAGGGGCAGCTCACCCAGCATGTTCAGCGTCCCGATTGTATTGGTCTTCAGCGTCTTGATGGGGTTGTACATGTAGTTAGGAGGGGAGGCTGGAGAGGCGAGATGGTATATCTGGTCAACTACAGGAGACAAAACAGAAGCATGTTATTTCCAAGAAAACACTAAAATAATTCTGAACCCCTGACTTCAGACTGTTTAATAAAGGTGTTTGTGTATCTTTCACCAAAATTTTATTTTATTATTCTTTAAGCAAAACCAAAAAGTCTAATTATGTGGAACAAAAAGTTATGTGCTGGGCCAATTATTTGGGCCGATTCTCCTCTCATCAGGGTCAGTCTGAGAACCAAGCTGATTGTTTTCTGAGAAGACCTGCCCCAGATGCGGCAGTCAAATCAGAAGACTGATTTTTCAGACAAAGAATTAAGTACCAAAACCTAAAGCATCAATTTTCAACCTTTTTCATCCCATGGGTACACATAAATTACTAAAATTCTGCTGCACACCAAAATATACTTTTTTTGCTGATTTGACAGAAGAAATAGGTGTACTTTTGATTCATACCAAACGTCTATTGCTGTGTTGGCTCCTGTCATTTACTCGACAATCTAAGGGAAAAGAGGTCCGTGCCCCAAATGAAACAGTCAGGTATTGCATGTTTTAAACATTCTTGCAGCACACCAGTTGAAAATTGCTGCTCTAAAGTAAACAACATTTTTAAATGGTAAAACAAGCCAGACGTAAAAGCAAAGGCACAAATGTATGGGAGGAAACAGCCTTTCACTTTGCTCTTATGTATCCAGGACACATAAAACCACACGCTGAGATGACCTCGGGGGGTGGTTTCTACAGCCACGAACAGCACAACAATTGGGACTCTACACACAACCTCGATGCACAGGCATCCCTGTAACATCGCCACCCACAACCCTCGCCCCCAGGTCAGGGACACCTGCCACACAGCAGAGCGGCCCCGGGAACAACGGCTCCTGAGAAAGGAACAAGATGAGCAGGCGCGGAGGAGGAAGCCACCCCGCCAGCAGATGGCCTTGCCCCTTCAGCTCTAGGTCACCATCACAGGAGAGCCAGGGCATGGGGACCTGAGACACCACTGCCACAAGAATCCTCCCGTGCTCACAGCCTCAGCCCCCACCCAAGGGCACCTGCAGCGATTCCTCCACTACTGGCTCCCCATCCCCCAGGCCTCCCACTCGATTCCCAACCAGGGACCAGGGCTCTCCTTTGAGGTAACAGCACATCAGGGGCTAGGTTTCAGAGATGACAGGCAAAACGAGCAAACTCTGATATAACTTTTCTCAGAACACACGACCACCCAAAAATGCCCAAGCTCCCCACCCACACCCACCCACCACCCATCACCCTGAAAATCTCCTGCAGGAATCACTGCAGCACCTTCAACGATCTGGGGCTGTTTCCTGACACGCTGCCCAACCCCAGAGTGAGAGTAGAAGGAGAATTTCTCATCCTCAGACAAGGAGGAGTGGTGCTCCAGACTGTGAGCTGGGTCACCACTTAATTCTCTCTAATGATCAGTCTTTCAAGCCTGAGGGTGTCTGAGCTGCATACACAAGAGCAGCCAAGGCCAAGGGAAAGGGGGAGCTGGATAGTTCCACACACAGCACCTGTGGGAAGGAGTTCCAGGTATTGTACAGGTTCCTGGAATAACCAAGGACTGTTTTTCCTGTACTGTGACGCTGTGTCGAGGGAGACAAGAACACAAGGAAGGCTGTAGGTCCCATCTTCTGGATATTTGTGAGGTTTCTTTGTTTGCCAAGATTATTCCAGCAAATTCCTGGGGTATTTTTTTAAAAAACGTCTTCCTATTTAAAAAAGAGTACTAGGAAACACCACCCCTTCCTATCCAAATCCCAACAACATTTTCACAGAAACAGAAAAAAATTTATGCTGAAATTCATATGGGATCTCAAGGGACCCTGAACAGCCAAAACAATCTTACTTTTAAAAGAACACAATTGAAAGACTCATACTTCCTGATTTCAAAACATATTACAAAGCAACAGTAATCAAAACAGTGTGGCATTTGCATAAAGACAGACATATATGTCAATGGAATAAAGAGCCCCCAAATAAGTCTTTTTTGTATATGATCAAATGATCCTCAACAAGGGTACCAAGTCACTCAATGGAGAAAGAAGCAAAGGTTAACAAATGGTCCTGGGAAAACTGAGTATCTGTAAGCAAAGAATGAGGCTGAGCCCTTACCTGACTACACACTATATACAAAAATTAACTCAAAATGGATTAAAGATCTAAACGTAAGACCTAAAACAATAAAACTCCTAAAGGAAAACATGGGAAAAAGCTGAATTTAACACTGGATTTGGCACGGATTTCTTGGATATGACACCAAAAACGAAGGCAATGAAAGCAAAAATATACAATTGGGACTATATCAAACTTAAAAACTTTATGCCAATATCAAAGGATACAATCAGCAGAGTAAAAAGGGAATCTATGGAATGGGAGACAATATTTGCAAATCATAGCTGTGATAAATTAATATGCAGAATATATAAAGAACTCCTACAAATCAACAACAAAAATATCAGCCCAATTAAAAAACGGCAAAGTGCTTGAATAGGATTTCTCCAAAGATGACAAACGGCCAATAAGCTTATGAAAAGATGCTCAGTGTCAACAATCATCAGAGAAATGCAAATCCAAATCACAAGGAGGCATCAATTACACCCCACCCCTTAGGATCCTATTAAAAAGTAACAGAAAATAATAACAAGTGAAGGCAAAGATGTGAATTGGAACCACTGAGCACTGCTGGTGGGAGTGTAAAATGATGCAGCCACTGTGGAAAACGATATGGCAGTTCCTTGAAATATTAAAACCAGAATTAACACATGATCACATGGTGGTTCCCAGGGGCTAGTGGGAGGGGGAGAGGGAGTTACTGCTCAATGGGTAGAGTTTCAGTCTAGCAAGGTGAAAAGTTCTGGAGATCTGTTTTACAACAATGTGAATATCCTTAACACTACTGAACTGCACACTTAAAAAATGGCTAAGATGGGGCCCTGGCTGGGTAGCTCAGTTGGTTAGCACATTGTCCCCATTCACCAAGGTTGTGGTTCAATCCCCAGTCAGGGCACATACAAGGATCAGCCAATGGTGCATAAGTAAGTGGAACAACAAGTTCATGTTTCTCTCTCTCTCCCCATCCCNGTTTCTCTCTCTCTCCCTATCCCGCCCTCCTTCCTCCTAAAACCAACTAAAAAGTAGTTAGGATGGTTAAAAAAAAACCCACAAAGATGAGTGATGAAAGCAAATGAAAAAATGAGTGNCATCCCTCCCTCCTTCCTCCTAAAATCAACTAAAAAGTAGTTAGGATGGTAAAAAAAAAAACCCACAAAGATGAGTGATGAAAGCAAGTGAAAAAATGAGTGTTAGTGAAAATGGGTAAAACCTTTATTACCAAAGCTGAAGTGAAAAATGAATGGTTTTGGTTTATATATTTGCTCGCCTCCCTTTCCCAATCCTGGGCGTACAACGGTCAAAATCAGGCTCCTGAGCGACTGCAGATCATTCGAGATTCCCCACCAGCCCCTGCTCTACATCACCACCCAGGGAAGTTTTAGAATGCCCGGGCTCCTGACACCCTGACATGGACACTCCAGGCAGGGAGNTTTTAGAATGCCCGGGCTCCTGGCACCCTGACATGGACACTCCAGGCAGGGAGACTCTGGAAGTTTATAATATGGATGTTTAAAAGCCACATTTGAAAACCAGTGAGTTAACTTAAAAATAGAACCCCTGGTGTTAAAATAATTTTTCTTCGAGGAAAAAAAACAACTAAAACCAGCCTGGCCAAGTGTGGATCAGTGGTTGAACATCAACACAGGAACCAAGAAGTCAGTTTGATTCCTGGTCAGGGCACATGCCCGGGTTGCAGACGTGATGCCCAGTGGGAGTGAGCAGGAGGCCGTCAAACAATGTTGTTCTATCCATCTATCCTTCTCTTATTCCTTCCTCTCTCTCTAAAAATCAATAAAAACATATTTAAAAAAACTAAAACTACACAAGACCTTTTAAAGTTGTTTATAGTCTGTCAATNTTATCCCTTCCTCTCTCTCTAAAAATCAATAAAAACATATTTAAAAAAACTAAAACTACACAAGACCTTTTAAAGTTGTTTATAGTCTGTCAATATGCAAATTCACTGAAGGGATCTATCTAAGTATGAGGAAACTCCTGTGACCGCTGTGCAATCCCCACCTCTTTTGCTAAAAACAAAAAGCAAATGAGGCCCTAGTCAGGTAGCTCAACTGGTTAGAGCATCATCCCGATATGTCAAGGTTGTGGGTTCGATCCCCGGTCAGGGCACATACAAGAAACCACCAATGAATGCATAAATAAGTGCAACAACAAATTGATGTTTCTCTCTCTCCCTTCCTCTTTCCCCAACATCAACTAAAAACAAATAAAAATTCTATATGACAATTNCAAATAAAAATTCTATATGACAACTGCAAGTTGACAGAATAGTTCTCACAAAATCCCGTCATTCTTAGGCTGCTNTAAAAATTCTATATGACAATTGCAAGTTGACAGAATAGTTCTCACAAAATCCCGTCATTCTTAGGCTGCTTTCTCTTTTCTAGTTTGCAGATGTGCCCATAACAGCATGGGTCAGCTACTGCACATCTGCTTTTTTAAAAGCTCAAGGTGTGCAGGTGTAAGGAGCAGACCATTGCATTTCCTCTTTTTAAAACACCTCACCACACCGGCTGCTGCTCTCCAGCGGGACTGCCAGATTCAAACAGTGAGCGTCGATATGAAGCACAGCACCCCATCTCCTACCCTTACAACCGCTACTTTAAGATAAACAAGAGCAACAAAATTTACTGTGTAGAAGCAATGACCTCTTCTCCTTTCCTGGTGCAGTGCAAAGGATGGCAGCCCACAGAATTCCAGAGGATAGGTAACTGTAGGAAGCTGAGTAAAGCTTATCCTAGCTTCAGTCTACTGCTTCGCTAGTTCCACCGCCTGCGTCCCCTTGACCGAACTGCTCCCCCTTCACCAAATAGAATGTAGTTTGTTTGTTTTTTCTGCCTTTATATTCTCCCTGCAAAAA